TGATCAGCTTCATCCTGCCGCGCAATCCCCTATAAGGAGTACACTTTTTCTACAAGTCCCCTATTCACAGTCCAGGAGTCCAGTTTATCCAGTCACGCCGTCCTGTGTGTTGTGCCCGAAAGAGAACAAACACATTTTCTGTTTTGCTTGCCTCGTGGCAGCGCATTCCTTTCTTCACTTCAGCCATGGCTGCCAGTTCTGCTGTGCAGTTGCTGACAGTAATCTGTCTCGAGGTAACCAAGGAGGATAAGGAGACGTTCAAAATCAAATCTGGAAAGCGTCTTGTGGTTCTCTGAAGACGTTTCATCAGTGCGCGGGATGAAAGCAGAAATTGCAGAACGAGAAAAAGTTCAGCACAGTTCAAATCTGACGAGTCAGGTACACTAACACTCTCTTTCGTTCGACGCCACAAGGATCCCCTGTTTGGCTGGCCATTGCTGCCAGTAAGACGTTTGAACGGTTTCATCAGAGCGAGGGATGAAAGCAGAAAGCGGAGAAAGAGAAAGGTTCAGCACAGTTCCAATCTGACGAGTCAGATACACTGACATTCTCTTTCGTTCGACGCCACAAGGATACCCCTGTTTGACTGGACAAGAGCTGCCTGTACCACCGTGTCAAAAGGCTGTCCAACTACATGGCAGGACGATGACTGAGGTAAGGAAGCTTTTACTTGTTTCGATTGGTCTGCTGTTCTGTCGTTATGCTTGAATTTGTTTCCATTTTCAAGGAGCGTATCGTGTTTGTTTGATGTTGCTTGAATGAATGCCCTAAAAGTAATCAACCACTTCGTAATAGTCCTCAAGGACTGCAAGGACTTTGCATCAATCGTATACGATCGTCTAGCTATCATCAATTATTATAATTATTTCATGAGAAATGTATTTTTATCCCTGTGAAAATTATGTGAAACTCCACGACACTCTTCCTCTACAAATTATAGTATGATGTCAAATACAATGAGATCCACAAACGCAGTGCCAGTGTACTAGTAGTAGTAGGAGGATTGCTTGTATGCCAATGACAAGAAAAAGCTTCTCAAGCTAATACTCGTATTCCCTGAAGTAACCGTTTTGATGTCACGAACATGACATTGTGTCAGTGAAACTGCCTCGTGACAACAAATCATTGCATTTCCATCTTGGGGAAGACTGACTGACGGCAACGCTGTACAGATTGTTCAAATCATCTCATTTCAATTTACTTCGAAGTATTTGCAGTGAAACACTGTGTACACTACATGTATGGTGGTGTGTCCGTGCGTCTTGAGTGTGCACAAACGATCTTATTCCTCGTATTACTAATAGATTATTGTCCCCACCGTCACCTGTTCACAGGTCTTTGAGTGGATTGATTTTCATTGAGCATCACATTCGTTGAGAACTTGGTAGTTGTGTGCTCCCATGCATCATTACGTTAATAAGCGTATCCTTGTGCTATCTATTTGTTGCAGGTGTGCTGATCTTCAGAAGCTTGCAGAACTGAGTGCTGCTGAACATTTGCATGGCCATGAGCAATGGTGAAGCTTGCTATTGCACTCTCAGCATGTGCTAGTATTATGCTGACCACTGCACTATGTTACTCTCTTACACTACTACATGTATGTAAACGTGCGTGTACCCGTCCCCGTATGCATTCGTTTCGTATAATTATTTGTTATCCCTCTTGACTTTACGTGTAAATGGGTGGACGTTTGCATGGCTGTTGGAGTTGCGTGTGTATTGTGTCTCTACTCTTTTCTTGGTGTTTTCTTGGCGTTGTATAAGTTTGTGTGTGTGTGTGTGTGTGTGTGTGTGTGTGTGTGTGTGTGTGTGTGTGTGCGCGCGCGCGCGCGCGCGCGCAATAGTTTGAAAACAAATAATTAATCCTGGGCTCTCCATTATTCTCTTTCGATTCTTGTTTTTTTTCTAGGTATTTTCTTGGCGTTGTGTGGGTGTGTGCATGTGTGTGTGTGCGTGCACAATAATTTGGCAACACTGCATGATTGAGATATTGTAATTTGCAGCGTCTGCGAAGAGACCACTTGATTTGAGGATGGTGTTTGTAGGGTTTTTCATGTAGTGAAGTGGCTGCAGTGGCGCCTCAATACATATTTTTTATCTTGAGAAGTGAATGATGTAAAGGATTAAAGGGAGAGGCCGTTTTCTGGTTAATATTCACTGCTTACAGCAGATCCTATGTCTAATTTCGAACTCGATAGGGGATGCCCAATTGGCTGGACTTTAAACAGGGAGTGTTGTCCACATAAAGACTCTTTAATCTTTATAGTTGATTTCAACACTGCATGATTGAGATATTGTAATTTGCAGCGTCTGCGAAGAGACCACTTGATTTGAGGATGGTGTTTGTAGGGTTTTTCATGTAGTGAAGTGGCTGCAGTGGCGCCTCAATACATATTTTTTATCTTGAGAAGTGAATGATGTAAAGGATTAAAGGGAGAGGCCGTTTTCTGGTTAATATTCACTGCTTACAGCAGATCCTATGTCTAATTTCGAACTCGATAGGGGATGCCTAATTGGCTGGACTTTAAACAGGGAGTTTTGTCCACATAAAGACTCTTTAATCTTTATAGTTGATTTCAAAATTTGGACTCCGTACAGTTGATTTTGGACCAATGGACTCTATATAGGGGTGAAGCCAATTGGCTGGACTCTATACAGGGAGTGATGTCCATCTAAACTGAGCTCACAGTTGATTCCAATTTTGGACTCTGTACAGTGGATTTTGGACCAATGGACTCTATATAGGGGTTGGACATCATATAGGGGCTGGACGCTCTACTGAGTCCAACATATATGATTCTGCCACTTTCACTGCTTTTCGAGCAGAATCTGCCACCTTTTCGAGCATTATCTGCACACCCCTAGTGGGAGTTGAGTAGATGAGATCCACCACAAAGTGGTTAAAGCCGGAAAATCCCATTCGCCGCATTCATGCATCCATTCCAAGCTAACACAAAACAAGAGAAGTGTTCGCTCCCTTCATCTGAGCCCGAGATTTCATTCCAAATTGACTTGGTAATTGACTGACTGATGACCGCAATCTCGTGCACATCAGCTACGACCTGTCGACTACATGTAGTTGGTTATGCTCTCACCGTCCTGTTTCACGCTGATATTTTGGTGTTCACGACGTGTTTGTCGTGCTGGAAACGGAGCGTCTCTGTAAGTTCGTACCCTTGGTTATCCCACAGTTTGCCCTGGAGAGCACTATCATACCTGCACGGTCACATTCCTAGTGGATCTCCACCTGAAGGGTCCGTCCCTGATTCACCTGCCGGCTCGTTTGCAAGTGATCTCTCGCAGATGGTGACCAGGGTCAAGTCCCTGAAGCAATCAGAGCACTATCGCTTTAACTCATTGCTGCCACAGAGGAGTGAGGCGCTAAAGGACCTCCTCAGCCCATCACAGCACCTGATACTTGGCAAAACTGCAGAGGCGGGGGTATCCAGCTGGATGACGGCTGGCCCCTCCGCGACTTGCCGAGCACATGTGTGTGGAGCAGTACTGTCTTTGAATCACGCAGCGACGTATCCTAGAGGGGATTATCCCACCCACACAACACGCTGCGTGATCTTCTGGCTAATGCCATGGGCGCTGCTCTACCCATTGTCCGGATTGAGCTCCTCCTTCTGCCGCTGGAGGGTGAGTCGCTCTTCGGAGCCTCGGCCAATGGAAGAGAAGAAGTCAGGTTGGATATCTGTGCAAGAGGTTTCTGGTCTCGACAGCAGGATACATTTTTGATGTTACGGTGACTCGCCCATCAGCATTCGTGTTGTCGAGGGGCAACCTTTTGCACAGACGTCTAGGAATGAAAGCCGGAAGAAGAGAGCATACCTATGGATTTTAACAGATGTGCATTCACACTTTTGGTCTTCAGCACCAATGGCTTGTGTGGCACGAATGTCTGCGGGCTTTGATATTTTAAAAAGAACTTGGTCGGCTTGATTGTCATGCATCATTCTGGATTACAGTATTCATTGGTCATTTAAGATACAAGATCTCTTTCGTTTTGGTCAGGTGGTTCGTACTTGTTTCCGCAGTTGCCCGGCCTTGTTTTTGCGTGGGCGATCCAGGGCTTTATCATTTCTGGATGAGCGCCGTACACGGCCTTTGTAGACGCACCTTCTGGTTAATATCGACCTACTCTACAAGTAGGATTGGTCTGGGATTTTTAACCGGCTTTCCAAGTTACGCTATTGCAAATAATGATCTTCTTTGATAGTAGTGACTGCTAAGAATTGCCTGGGTTGACTTTGGATTTTTCTTCAATCATCTTTCAGATCACATTATCATGGACTTTCAATACACTTCTTTGGACACCCATCGTACCTGCCAAGTGCTGACAGGGATTTTACCGATTTTTTCACGATTATCCAATTTTGGATGACCTCCCGAAAATCACGAATAACTGAAAGTGAGGTGAATTGCTGTGTTTACGATTTTCTGGCATACTGCACGCAGTTGGGTTAGGATCTCGGCCACAACGGTGAAGAAGAATGGTTACGCACAGTTTGTCCCGGTGGTGGTATGTCTCTGAAATGCTTATTAGCGATGGTACATGTATATTGCACATTTGATTGTATAACTTGTGTAAAATGGGTCTTTCTTGATGAATGACGTCACCAGAAAAAGTTAAAGTGACTAATGGGAAAGAGTACATATCCCGTATTGAAGTAAATCCAGGGATTTTGCACTGACAATCCCGAAAAACACTATCAGTACTTGACAGGTGTGCAAACGCCACTGTCGTCAACACATGGAACCCCCACCGACTCTTTGTGGCCATGCCCGAAATGACCTTGCCATAGGTCCAGTGGCATCTGGGATTGCTACCGAAAACTGCATGATGAGCAACAATACCTTCAATAATTATCATCTCTTAGCGGCCACTGGCCATCGCGAGAATAATTATATCAACAAAGTTTTGCCGGAGGATGCACCCAGTGTGATGACAGTGCTCAACACCACGGAGGCAGAGCGTAATACAGAACAGCAAGGACATCAAGGCTTGTTGGATGCTCAGAGAGTAACCGAGGTTGACGCGCCTTGGAGTGTCTCAATAAAGGTTTGAAAATTGAAACACACGAATGCAATTGAACACCGAAATCAAAAACTAGAGACTGCTGAGTCCATTCTGTAAACCACAGGTACCATGTACTTCAGTAGCAATATGAACACTAAACGCCAGTGGAGCTCATTATATACAAACGAATTGGAGAAGTCGGAAAGCATTCGCGGTTTTGTTGCCGCTTGGCCCTCACCACACAGGCGCAGTGCTAAACATGGTGTAAAGAAACTCAGCATCTAGAGAGAATCAGTTCGCCTAGAACAATGGCTAATAATATGCAGAGCAGATCAGCAGACTCCGGGGCAGCGTGTCTAAACAAACCCTAGAAACAAAATGCAAAAGAGGGGACGAAAGGATTTTCGCACAAAAGTGATGCTGGTAACGGAAAGGCATGAAAAAGTAACCACGCACATGTGTATAGGGCAGGGGCAGCTAAATGGTCTGAACGACGGGATGGGGGAGGGGGGTATGCTTATAACCAGTGCGTGTTGAAGAGTACTGACAAGGGATCTGCATGCACGGCCTTCAATTAATGGTGGCGACTGCCAATACGCTGAGCATCAGGGAGATGAGAGCGGAGAGCGTCAGCATACACGGCCTTCAATTAATGGCCACGGCTGCCAATACGTTGAGCAGCAAAGAGACGAGAGCGGAGAGAGTTAGCATGCACAGCCTTCAATTAATGGCCACGGCTACCAATACGCTGAGCTATAAGGAGACGAGAGCAGAGAGCGTCCGCATGCACGGCCTTCAATTAATGGCCATGACTGCCAATACGCTGAGCAGCAAGGACCCGAGAGCGGAGAGCGTCAGCACTGACGCACCGCTGTCTTCACCGGACGGCGTGGTGGAGCTACGTTCACCATAGTTGAGAAGGGGAACACCGGCCTTTCCTTCACGCCTGGCGGTGTCGTAGAAGACGTCGCAGTACAGTCCGGAGGAAGTCTTGTTGAACTCCGGAATCGTGACGTTGGCAAACACAAATCCGTCGCTGTTTGTGTACGTATCGTGGACTTTGAAGCACAGGGATAGGTCGAAGTACTTGTTACCGCGTCGAATATAGACGTCGTCAGCATTAATCGGTCCACTCATGATATTGAGATAGGAGACACAGTTCTCACAATACTCTACAGTACGACAGTAGAGGTTTATGGCGTTGGACACATTGAAGACGTTCTGGCAGGAAAGCCGATTGTAGAAGATAGCGTTCTGTGGACCGCCGTCAGCCGCATAGCTCGCTCGACGTAAGATCCGCCTGTGCAGAAAAACACACACCGAAACAGGCACACACACACAGACACATAGACACACACACGAAGTGACACACACACATGCACACACACACACACACATGCACATACACAAAGACACACACACACACACACACACACACACACACCATGTATACGCACATCACAAGAGAAGAACACAAATCTGCAAATGGACTGGATGTGCACCCACAGATTTTCTCTTATAACAACAATAGCGGATCTGATTACGAATGAAACAGATCAGGAGAAGCGCCAGATAAATCTCTAATCGATACAACTGGCAGTCATGTGAATCGACCCCAATGCACACCTGGTCTACACCAAACGGAGCATCGGAAAAGGACCGCAAAGGAAGTTACCTTTTTTAAGAAACTCTTTGTGGTAGCACTCTTAATTTTTCAACTGAAATTATGATTCTGCTGTATTTTATTGCCGTTGCAATGTCTATTGCTATGACGATGCGGTGCCGGCACTTTTTCTGTCTCCGTCTTTCAGTACTGTATACTCTCTGATGGCCTGGAGCAGACTTTTGTTAGGGTGTAGGAGAAATATCTTCATTTTTCCGGTTTTGATAATGATAGCACATCAATATACATTGTGGTCATAATGTGTTGGCATTTGGGCTAATTTCAACAGCAGCCCAATGGTCTGCTCTGTGGGCCATGTGATAAATTTGTTATCGCATGGTTGCTGCGGGCCTTATGGCATGTTTATTGCCCCTCAAGGTTAGCCCTCGGTCCTACGGCCCCCGGGCTAACCTCTCGGGGCAATAATAGAGAGGTTCTGGGGTACGATTTTCCGTGCCAAAATCCGTATGGGCGCTACGGATTTTTTCCAGGCGTGCTCCATACGATTTTTCGGCACGAGAATCCGTGTGGACTGGCTTTCATACGAACCATGCTTCGTATGGAGATTTTGCGTCATCGGGTGCAGAAAGATTTTTCGCGTACAAATTTGGTACGAGAAACATCGATTTTTCGCGGGAAGTTTTGATTTCGGTACAAATTTTCAAAATAAAAAGGCATAGCACGGGAATGTGACGTGTTTGCGATCGTAACCTAGGCAATGACCGCAAACACATAAGTTCCGTACCCCGGAACTTTTCACTGCTCGAAAACGACGTATAAAAAATCCGTAGAGCCTCCACGGATTTTGGCACGAAAAATCCTACTCCGGAACCTCCCTAATAGGGAGGTTCCGGAGTACGAGTTTCCGTGCCAAAATCCGTATGGCCGCTACGGATTTTTTCCAGGCGTGCTCCATACGATTTTTCGGCACGGAGAATCCGTGTGGACTGGCTTTCATACGAACCATGTTTCGTATGGAGATTTTGCGTCATCGGGTGCAGAAAGATTTTTCGCGTACAAATTTGGTACGAGAAACATCGATTTTCCACGGGAAGTTTTGATTTCGGTACAAATTTTCAAAATAAAAAGGCATAGCTCGGGAATGTGACGTGCTTGCGATCGTAACCTAGGCAATGACCGCAAATACATAAGTTCCGTACCCCGGAACTTTTCACTGCTCGAAAACGACGTATAAAATATCCGCAGCGCCTCCACGGATTTTGGCACGAAAAATCGTACTCCGGAACCTCCCTACTATGCCATAAGGCCCTTGCAGCCATGTGATAACATATACTTATTACAGCATCTCATAGCACAGTGAGAACACCGGCCAATGGAAAGAGAGAGGGTGTTAACCAACCACGGCAAGGAAGGAAGAAGGGGAGGAGAAGAAAAAGGAACCGGCATGGATAAGCAGTGATTGCAACAAAATGAGAAATACAAAATCAAAGCAAAGGCGCGACAAGGCTCTAAAAAAGGCGGACAGAAGAAAAGTCCTTAGCTTCTTGGGGAAGTGCCTAATTATATGGACAAAAATAAACAGCTACTGTGTATGGGCTGAACTGGGCAGCAGTGATGTACATATATCGTTTTGGCTTGGCCGCAGAAGTCAATTTTGAATGAGAAGCACCTCGGATAGAATGTACATTTTCCCATTCTCTGAGGGGGGGGGGGGGGGGGAGGGAGGGAGGTATATCTTATCTGATTTCTACTGTAGTACTTGGTCCGACTTGTTAAAATGTGCGCCTCACTTCAAAACTCAAGCATATGTAAAAAAGGAGCACCTTTACTAAAAAATCAGCCAAGAGACGGTAGATAGATAACTACTGTATCGTTTCTTGGCCTGACCTTCTAGTTTTCGTCGCTGCTGATGTCTCAGCGCGCATCTGCAAGTGCATCAACCTGCAAAACGTCGACATTTTTCATCTCTTCCAAGCTACGCTGCGAATCCTTGATATTTTCACTCCATAGGCACGATTGAGACGATCGATTTCGCCCCCTCCTCGTGCAGTACGACTGCCAGAATGTTGGCTGTCGGTGTTGTTTTCGCCTGACGCTCCCACGATACCTTCAACTGAGGCGAACAAGTACACAACCACGCATAAAAAAATCACTTATCATCGCCATGTGCCGCGTGCGTGCTGAGTCTGATCTGTGTCGACATGTCATGGAGTCAGACTATGCGTGCTGTTCCCTGTCTGTTTCACGAATCCACTGCACTAGCCCCGCGGGCCCGGAGACTGGCAGTCTTGTGACGGAGCTTTAGCATTAGTTTGATGTAGCGATGACGCCTCGCGATCGCGGCTCTGAGGACTCTGCACCATTCACGCAACATACCCGCAGAATAATTCATCCTTTCTGAGCTTCGGTTCTGCAGCCAGGTTGCGCCTGAAAGGCGACCTTAGCTCAGGGGCGGGTATTTATTTCGATAAAATTCTCGGCGATCTCTTCTGTGATCATATTTCGTCGCCCGCCGTATCGTGAACGACTGCGAGAGAGATCAGCAAACTGGACGGGGCGATGCTGGTGCTTTCTGCACCAGCATTGCTGAAATTCTGCCAAGGAAACAGCGACTGCAGCGATTTCAATCAGCCAGGAGGCACTCGAGAACAATCGGCCAGGAGTTTCTGGTACTCTGTGACAATTCCCCATCGCATTAGGGTGTTGATTTCAGAACCAGGCCTTCTCTGTGTTGCGCGAGGAGCAACAGGAGTCCTCTGATGACAAATTTTGGACGCAAAATGCTCAATTCGACTAGGATCCCAAGGCGCTGCCTCCTTTGGAGTTGTAGCCATTTCTTCTTCAACATCACAAATCGACAACTGAAGGACAGTGTTAGGTAGCTGGAAAGTTGAGAGATTATTTGAATTTGTTCGGTTGACTTTCGAAGCGAAGCGCACATTTTAATAACTCGGACCAAGTACGAAGATATAGCTTGGGGAGATGGAGTGACCTTTGGACAATATGACAATGTTTGCTAGCGACTATAATCGAGCAATCGATCGTCAAACTAAGAGTAATCGAGAGTTGAAAATCCACAATCACTTCAGGCATACAATAAAGTCTAAATCCTCATCAACGGCAGGCTGTGATGTCAGTTCTCTTTCCAACATCTTGGATCTGATCACCAGCGCAGTGTTTTATCATGGGTACGGGATGACTGCCGAAAGGTATGCATGATAAGATGGGGGCGCAGTTTTCCAATTAAATAAAGCCTTGCAGGGGCGTACACTGCTCGCCTCCAGGAGTGGTTCCTATGCCAACTGATCAAACAAAATTCCACACAATTAGCCCTTGGCGGATTATGCCGGCATAATATTTGGCATAATCTTGGGATTTGGTCCAAAAATTATGCTCCGGCATAATATACGGATTCCAACGTGTAAGGTCGGCATAATCTTTCGGTTTAGACAAAAATTATGCTTAGGGGTATAATACAGCATTGTCAGAAAGCCTGCAGATGTTTTTTTTTAAATACCCCAGTTACGACTCCTTGTCATAGCCCTTGGCGGATTATGCCGGCATAATATTTGGCATAATCTTGAGATTTCGTCAAAAAATTATGCTCAGGCATAATAATTATACTGATTCCAACGTGTAAGGTCGGCATAATCTTTCGGTTTAGACAAAAATTATGCTTAGGGCATGGCCGTGTGTGTATGCGTGGTTTCTCAATCCTCTATGTACAGCGTGAATACATAGTGGAACCAAGCATAATTCAGCATAATTCAGCATATTTGTTGGCATAATTGTGGCATAATCAAAAGCATACTTTGACGATTGGCCAAGCATAGTCCGCCAATGGCTACACACAATTGCTAGTGCTCGTATACGTATCCGACGGAGTTTCTGCATAAACTGCTGGATGTCACTGCTACGCATTTTTGACTTAAAAAAGACTCAACTTTGCCAAGGCATTTTTATGGATGTTTTGTTCAGCGGGACGATTTCATGCAGTCTTGAGTCGGGTTACAGTCAACTTCGCCAATAATGACTACGGATATAACAACAATTCGCGAATAACGACAGCATTTCCATGCCCAGAGCAAAGTCCCTTCCAACTGTAATACATAATTATAATGGGACTTCGGGTATAACGACACTTCGCGAATAAGGACACTTTTCTGATGCCCCTCGGAGAGTGTCGTTATAAGCGAAGTTGACTGTACAATAATATAACTATTCTCGAGAGAACTGCGGTAAAGCTGCCCAAGTTTTGAATCATCTGGAGTAAACATCACACAGGGCAAGCAGAAGCCACCATGGCACGCCGGTCAAAAGACTACCCAGGGAAACTCCTCCAACCCGGCAGGATAGTTGAAAGCGGCGCTGTCTGGACACGCACGATAAACGAAATCCTTCGCCTTCAGTGGCGCACAATAATTGTCGATGACGGAAATCTTTTCCATGTCCGGCAAATTTCGGGGGAAACAGGGATTCCACTGTGGAAGTACACTTTCAGAATATCCTTTCCAACACACTACAATGCCACTAAAGTAAGTCTTGGAAGATTCAGCAGCTTCTAACAGCGGTCGCTCTACAGCTTCGCCGACGATTCTGTCCCCTGTGCTGCTCGTTGCAGACTCCACTTGCAAGGCAGGTGCGTCCGCAATCTCATCTATCGCTTGACCTTCGTCACTGGCTACACGCTTTGCCTCCTGCTCCAAAAAAGCTCTGAATAGAGCGCTGGCCCTCTGGATGTCGACGCTTCATTTTTCTTTTCCACGAAGCGAAAGCATCGTCAAAAATGTAACCAACTAACGTTACTTTGTCTAAACAAACTGCAAAGGAAATGACTCTGAGATCGAGGAATTGATGTCACTAGTAGGTCTACATGGTCTTTGTAGAGAATTTGTTGCACCCAGTAAGTAACTAACTTAGTTCAGTAGATCTATATTGTGTCACGAAAATGCCCCAGCAGAACTTTTACATCTGACCTACATTTCACCGTCCTCTGACCGTCAGGCGGACTGCAGGCGCCTAGGCATACATGCACTGCACGCTGGCCAGGATCGAAACATTCTCCGTAGATCTACCCACATCGAAAAAAAATTACTGGTTCCCGGGCATCCCGGGAACCGCTCTATGTACGCCCCTGCCTTGGAGGTCAGTTCAGCTGGTGTTGTTGATCATGCATGTTTCAATAAAAACTTACTCGAATCTCGGCATTGTCGTGCCAGAAACAAAGTCGGTGGTCCTGTTAAGACCACAGTCGTTGCACTCATAACGCAGTACTGCAAACGGCTGTGCAGGTAACATATTCCTCGCCTGAACAGACGAAAAGAAAAGAGGACAACACCGCATACTGGGCTAGGCATGGCACGTTGTGACCTTTCGCAGCAGCAAAGGATGTCCGCAGCGAGGTAACGTGAGTAATGCCTAGCAGTGTGTTTCAAAAGTCCAGACCTCTGGTTTCAAAAAACCGTTAGGCCAGGATCAATACCACGTAAAATCTGAGATCACTTTACGCAAATATTTTCCGAAATTGGGCATTTGTTATTCAATCACTTAGAAATGTATAATTAAAATGGAAGAAATCACATGGAAACGAGATATGAAGCAACTACCCACGACTGTAACAAGATAATAATCTTTATCCTTCTGCAGTGGATGTGTGGGCGCTATTAGTGGGCGCTGCACTTCCGTATGCATGTCTTGCTCTCATCTTGTTTTTCCCTCTCTTTTATGTCCTTCTCTATGTTTCCTGGCAAGCTTTGTCTGTGCAGACGCCGAGACCACCAAGGTCGGCTGAGCAGCATGGCCCCGCCACCACTTTCCGCATTCATTCGGGAGCATAGTGAAATTTGTAAAAAATAAATAAAAAGCCAGTCAGAAAGTGGGATAAAAGGGCACAAAACTGAAATATTACTGATATATTCAACGACCGGAGGCCTAGCTCTCACACACCTTCAGTGCGCAAACCAACAGCGTTCCAGCTTGGAAGGTTGAAGGTTATGGTAGGACTAATGAGGGGAAGGTGAGCGCAGCGAAAATCTGCCCAAGCTAAGTTCCACATTTCCGGTCGTTGAATATCTCAGTAACATGTCAGTTTTGTGCCCTGTTATCGCACTTTCTGATTGCTTATTATCTTGTTCCAGTCGTGAATAGTTGCTTCATAACTCGTTTCCATGTGATTTCTTCTATTTTAGCTAATTATATTTATAGGCTCAGTATTCGAAACTTATAATTATGAGGAAAATTGCGGGAGCTCCCTAGCTGTGTCCGGGGGGGGGTGGGGGGGGGGCATTTTCAAAAGGCCGTCTTATTGCGCAAATTCTCACTCGAAAACGACTACAATACTCTCCGTGTCTGCTCATAGAAACCCATTCATTGCTGCGCATAGACATCTGTGTATTATACATGTATAGCCCCACCCGATCCACACACACAGAGTCATACACCTGCCTGCTTATGAAGGGACGAGAGCGCCCCTCCCCCAGTCACTAATTTGCTTATGAGACCTCCCCCGCAAACAAACTGACCTGATAACACATCCTCCCCCCCCCCCCCCCTCCTCTTGCTCAATCATGCACATGCTGGCTCTGAGCTTTGCTACAGTACCATGGCCTGAGTCAACATGTCGACGTACCCACCCGAGGTGATAACACCCTGGACCTGGTGATGTCTGATTTCCCTTCACCAGCAACTGTTAAGGCACACCCGCCTATTGGACTCTCTGATCATGCTGTCCTCCAAGTTGACTTTCCTGTGAAGCTCACCCGTGAGCCCAAGACATCGCGTAGAGTCTGGCGATACCACCGCGCAGACTGGGAGCGGCTTGCCCACTTCTACCGAACAACAGACTGGGAGAGCATGCTCGGACCTGAACCGGATCTCAGCTGCGACAACATCACCAAGAGGATCCTCGAAGGAATGGCACAATTCATACCCAACAGAGTTATCTCATCGCGCCCCTCCGACGAACCTTGGTGGACACCGGAGTGTACAGCTGCAGTCAACACCAAGCGACAGTTGTGGCACCAGATGCGCTCAAATCCCGACAGTGCTGATAAGAAAGCACACTACCGCACAGCTGCAGCCTCTGCACGCAGTACCATCCAGCGAAACAGAGAACGGCATATTACCATGCTCCGGCAGAAACTCACCACTGGTAGCCTTCGGGACAAGGAATGGTGGTCCATTATCAAGCGTGCGGGTGGCAAGGGCCGCAGCGCTGATATACCAACACTCCGATCTGCTGATGGAACTGAGTACACAACCAGTCAGGAGAAGGCCAAGTGCCTTGGTCAGTACTTCGCCGATAAGTGCAGCCTCGGCCCACAGGACTTCAATGAGGAATCTGAATTCCCCTTTGTCCAGCCTCGCTCCCAAAGCCGTCTCCTAAGTATTCGCTTCCGCCCTGCTGAGGTCCGTAAATTGCTGAGGGCCCTTGATCCTTCGAAAGCGTCAGGCCCTGATGCAGTTCCGGGCAGAGTCCTCAAAGCCAACGCTGAGCACCTTGCAGTGCCACTATGCTTGCTCTTCCGCCAGTGCATGACGTCGGGGACACAACCACAGTCTTGGAAAGTGGCAAGTGTCGTCCCAGTCCATAAGAAACGGTCAAAGTCAGCCCCATCGAACTATCGGCCCATTTCCCTCCTGTCGCTCATCTCCAAGACAATGGAAGCAGTTGTTAACCGTGCTCTCACCAACTTTCTCGAACGAAATAATATACTCTCAAACCACCAGTTCGGTTTTCGTCGAGGGTTAGGACCTGCTGATCTCCTAACAGGACTACACCACCAATGGAGCAAGATAGCAGCTGCTGGCGGTGCTGTACGTATTGTTGCCGTCGACATTGCGGGGGCCTTCGATAAAGTCTCCCACGCAGGTGTCCTTCACAAGGCAAAGGCTTACGGAGTGTCCGGGAACCTCCTCAAGTGGCTCCACAGCTACCTGGCGGATAGACGAATCCAGGCCGTTGTTAGTGGACAAACCTCACCTAAATTCCGAATCAGCTAAGGTGTGCCGCAAGGGAGCATACTGGGCCCCACTCTGTTCCTCCTATATGTCAATGACATGGAGGACCACCTCCCAGCCACAACCCAGCTCGCCATATATGCAGATGACACCACGCTTTATCAGTGCATCCCATCCCTGACCGCTCTCCCAGTTGGCCTAGCGCAGCTCCAGACTGCTGTGGATGCCTTAGCTGAATGGGGCCAGAGCTGGAAGATCGCATTCGAGCCGACAAAGTCGCAAGTCTTGACAATTTCGCATCACCGTCAACCCTGGCCGATTCCTCCAGCCACTTTCAATGGGGTGGCCATAGAGGAAGTGGAGGAGCTGAAGTTGCTCGGAGTGCTCTTTGATCGGAGCCTCTCCTTTCGCTCCCACATTCGACAGGTTGCAGTCCGTGGTCACCAACGTCTTGGCTTCATGAGGAAGGCCCTGCCCATTCTCGACAGCAAGGCCAAGTATGCAGTGTATCGCGGCTTCGTCCGCCCAGTACTTGAGTACTGCCCGCTTTCATGGTTGGGTGCGTCCCAGTCTACCCTGAACCAGCTGGACCGGGTACAGCACCGAGCCCTAAAGCTCATCGGCCCAGGGTCATACCTCCCAAGCCTCACTGTTCGGCGTCAAGTCGCAGCACTCACATTCCTGTACAAGCTGCATTGGATCGACGGTCCCCCAATCCTGACCACCATGACACCACCGAGGGCAGTTGCAAACCAGCACCGGCGCTCCACTCGCCAAGAGCAAAAGAACCAGCACCAGCACCAACTAGCACCGACACTGCACGCCGGAGCCCGTAATAGTGCTCTCCGATCATTCCCCCATGCCACGATCCAAGACTGGAATCGTCTCCCATCTGCCCTGCTACGCAACCTTCCCACGCAGAAGGGAATGCAGGCATTCAAGGAAGGCGCCTACAAGTCGCTCCGCAGCCGAGACTGGCGTTCAGCCACAGATGCCCTCTGAACACTCCCTGAACACCCTCTCTGCTTGCACCCTGGCTCCCCCCTTTTTTATTTTTTATTATTTTATTTTATTTATTTTTTTTATTTTTTATTTTTTATTTTCTTCCTCTATCACATGTATCATCTTTCCGTTTTTCCTTCCTCTATATAAATGTACCCCCCCCCCCCTCCCCTCCCCCTGTGCCTACTCCTCCCCAGTTTTTGGTGCTCTGAAGTGTCGCTGAAGCCGAGACCTCAGGTCGGCGGAGATGCTCCAGTTTTCACCACCACAGTTGCGTCTGCAACCACCTCTACCATGCAGTATTCTGTTCTCGAGGTTCGTGGTTTCTCGTAAAAAAAAAGAAAAAAAAAAAAAAACAGTGCTGCAGTGAGTACTGTATGTGAGTAGCCTCCACTGGCCCTGCTTATGCATACATAACATAATCATTGAAGAGAGCATAGCACTTGCTCACTGCACTAACCTTTGTCATGGGATCGATGCCATCTTTACAAATAGCTACGGTGGTATTTGCACTCCTGATGCACGTCTCAGGGTCATTGTCCGTGATGTTCAGGAACACGTCATACTGGCTCGCGTTGTAGAAGTCGAGTCCCAGTGTCTCCGTCACCACGTACGGATAGCGCACTATCCCACATCCCTCTTGCGAATCATTCACTAGGGTGATGTTCGGTGCTTCGCTCAACGTATTCAGTTCCGCTATCAGCTCTTCCACGTTGCTGTCGAGGATGCCCTCGATCACATCGTCAAGGAACATCACACAGTACGTGTGGAGGCCGAAACCACTGCCGATGTTGTCCAGTTTGTCTCCTTGCGTACACAGCGACAGATCAAACGTGATCTGGCCCTCAGTCGTCGCCACCTCTTTCAGAAGCGACTCGCCACTCTCCCGGCATGTATCGCACTTAGCATAGATCAGGGCCTGATTGCCGGACGATGCGGGACAGTAGATGTAGCGTCTGTTGGCGAAGCTTTTCCAACCACTTGAACATACCTTCACCTGCGTGCTGGGGCACACGTGGCTGTGCCCCAGAGCCACCCCCAACAAGCTACACAAGGCTACGAACGCCAGCACACACCAGCGTTCGGCATTCATGATTGATCGGCGAGACAGGGTTCCTCTATTCAACTCTTTGAAGTCTGACGTTGAGCCTCGTCAAGTTCACGCTCACTTCGGCAAACTCGCCGAGCACGCGGGCTGTTGCTTACAATTATTTGAAAGATGCAGGAAATCGTGACCACTAACACGTCCAAGCCACTGCAATCAAGAGAGACGGGTGGAGGACATTCGTTCAAAACTACACAGCAGAGTGCATCTGGCATCAATACTCAACTAATGTTGACCTTCGCTTTCTCAACTATTAGTATTACTTCAAACTGTGCTGGCCAGTAAATCAAGACAGTAGTTTGGACAGCTCCGGCACGTACGCAGCACTCAGCAGCGCTAGCTAGCTGGTGCTAGGGGTCGGCCCAGCTGCGTTTGCGCCGGAATGATCAAAAGTTGAGTACAATCGATCGAGCGGGCTGATCCTCCTACTGAGTGCGTTCGATTACACACTTGAATAGATTCCTGAATCCATTCGCCTGGATTATAGTCGTTCGTTTTTATGTCATGAGCCCTGGAATCGCTTCGGAATCGATTCCACCGATTCACATGGTGTGATGTAAATAGCCAGGGGCGATTCTGATTCACCCGGGCAATGCAGTGGCGGGAAAAGAAGCCACGTGTTAAGAAGTCATGACGGTAATAAACTGGTCCGAAACATGAACACAACTCCACAAAACCTCTTCCAGAAACAAAATAGGGGAAAGGCAAGATAAAGGAGGGAGAAGAATATGCTAGCGAAAATCGTGCATAGCACAACTGGGCACAGTGGTGAGTTGCTTCAGCAAAATGTGTTGCTCTTGGCATTGCTGCGCTCCGGTAACAAGCAAGGAACATCATAAGCGGAGCAATATCGCACCGAGCAGGGAACAGCATTTCTTCTGTCTTGTCATCATCGAACAGCGTCCAGATCCAAGGGAATGCCTCGGCATAGTCCATTTTTCTGGCAACACCTAGCGTCAAAGGAAACATGGAATCTTCTGCATGCGAAAGGAACTATATCATTTACAATTACATGTGAAAGAAAAGCGAAGAAAAGAAAGTCAGTTTCAAAAAGGATTTTTTTCGTGCAATCAACGACTTACGATCCTTTTGACCTTTTGTACAACGTGATGACCACGTAACCAAAACTCATTGTGATTCAACATGTTTACGCGGTTCGATTACTTGGAAGAAATTACGCACTTGAATCGATTCACGATGAATTGATTCAAGTGTCTAATCGAATGCACTCACTGTGACTGCCAGTCTTGCGACTTGCGCAGGTAGACCTAGCGGCTACATGTATGTGCTCGCGCTGCAAAGTCTGCATGCCCTCACCTGTCAGTTTGTTGCCATCGAGCTTCACGGACGCTCGCCATGACGATAGAACGTGACGCTCGCACAAGACGGAGTACGGCCGGAATAGGAGCACCTGTTGTTGCTGTCTGTCAGCCAGTGCTCCAGTAGATAAAAGAGGCATGTATACCCTACTATAACCGATATGCACTGTACATTGTAATAAAGTGTGTCTTGTAGTTGTAACCGATGTGGTACTAAAGTCAAGAGGCTAGCGCTCGTACTGTGACATCACCTTTTTTCCGGAAGACATTGAAACTTGATTGAATGAAAGCACAAGCGATTTGTCATGACTCGCTTTAGTGGTGGGAACGGATGAGACGTTTCCGTTATTTTTGCCCAAAGATGCATTGCAGGGTTGTAGCCACTCGCGCTCTTACGAAGTCATGTACGGTGACAACATACACACACACTAGCACTACACAAGGCAGAACAACAGAGACTAAGTTTTTCAAAAATCTTTCTGGTTACTCCGAGTTTCGCGTTCATATCAGATCGTCTGATGAGTGTTTATGAACGCGAAACTAGGAGTAACGAGAAAACGTTTTGGTCTCTGTTGTTTTGCCTTGTGACACAGTAGTACATGTATAATTGTTCTTTTAGTAGTATCACTCTCTTATTACTGACCGCCACAGAAACTTGTGATCCCTAAGTGGCCAAATATCAGTATTTATCACTCATCTATATTGACCTCCACTAATTCTCGTGATCCTTGACTGGTCCTATATTACCCATATTGCCGTAATATCGACCGCTTGTATCGACCGCTTGTATCGACCACTTAGGCATTGTAATCTTTCGACTTTGGAGGGACTTAGAATTTTTCTCTCCACTTCAAAAAGAAAATTTGAAAGAAAGAAGACAAAGGAAGAGAACAAGCAGGATTCGAACCCACAACAGTATGAATCTCAAGCAACCCCATATACCACCCAGCTACTGTGCTGCAGATGCTGCACCCTGTTGTTCTTACAGTCTTGTACCCAAAATAGGCAACATCCTATGTACACTATAGTACAAATGCTATACTAAAAAGGTTAAAATAGCTCCTCGGCGGACCTCGGTCTTTTACTCGGCCTATATTTCCCATATAGACCTCGTCTTGGACAATATCCTATACATATTTACCGCTTATATTAACCACTTATTATTGACCACTTAGCCCGAGGACTTACAAGTAAAACCTTTTCCTCTACTTGGAAAACAGTCAGAATTGAAAGAATACAATTGGCTATCTACTTAAGCGATGACTTTTGCTGAATATTCACCGCTTTTATTCACCACTTATCTAATATTCACCACTTATATTCACCACTTTTCGATACTTACTGTAAGTGTAAAGAGACCAGTACTTGGTGTTGCGCTTGATTCTTCTTGTTGTTGTTGTTGTGTTTATTTTAATTCGCAAACCAAACGGGCAGATCTGCCCAATGAAAAGGTGCGGAATGCAGATAGAAAGCAGTAATAAATGAAATTGGTGAGGGATGTAATAAGGATAGAGGTGGAGAATAACTAAGCCAGCTGATCATCAAACAGGACGTTTGCTACTCTAGGTACTCTATGTACTAAGGGTGTGCGGAATCATGCTGGCGCGGAACTGGCGGAGCGTGCGGATAGCACGTATATCGCTGGGTAAGGTGTTCCACAGCTGGGCGCCCCGGAACGCGAGGCAACCCTTGCCGAACCTGGTGCAAACTGGCGGTTGGCGCAGACCAATGGTGGAGTGTACCTAGTTGGGCCAGCTGACGAAGGAACTAGAAGAGGTTACAGGTCAGAACTTGCGTGCCCATTCCGAGACCTCCAGGCAAGAATGATGAACTTCTGCCTGAATATCTCGTATACTCTAAAGGTGTCCAATTTCGGCAGGAGGGTACGCGCGGAGGTGTGATGCGAGAGTCCGAAACCCCGGCCCTTGCCGCCCGATTCTGCATGACTTGTAGCCGATCTAATTGGTTGGCAGTAAGAATTGGGGAAAACGCATTGGATCCGCACATCAGGTCAGACATGATGATCGCTTTAAAGTAGAGAACTGTAGTGTTTTGTACTCATGGTGGTTGTAGTCCGTTGTGCACGTTTTTAAAACGTCTCTGTCGCTTACAATGTGAGTCTTCTGGTAGAGAATACAGTCCGTATCGCCTATAAGGTTGGCGGCTATAGTAATATACCGGATATAGTGATCAATTTCTCTAATTCATTTTCATTTGCCATAACTAAGTATACACAGTTATCGCGTATAGTAATAATCGTCTATAGTAATATATCGCCTATAGTGATCAAATTCTTATTTCAAAAGACGTTTATTACACTATTTTTGCATCGGTTATAGTGATTGATGTGAAATCAAGCGATGTCAGAGGAGAACAGGGTGTTACTTCTTCTTGAAGAACTTGTCCAGTGAGTGTTGTTTGGTGAGTTTTGCTTGTACAAGTTGCCAAAATATGCCTCCATCATGAGGAAATGCTGATTTTGTGTGTCAGGAGCTACAGCCAGCTACATGACATTGTACATGTATGTAGTGCGTATGTGCACGGCGCGCTGAGTCGTTTGACACCCCACTCGCATACATTGCATGCAGTATCGGTCATAGAAATATATCGCTTGTAGTGATAAAATGCTCAAAATCAAACACCAACGCTATAGGCGATACTGACTGTACTCTGTTGTCATGAGTCCGCTGCGTGCCGGCTCTCTTTCTCCTACGATCTAGCATTCTTTGTGTCCGTGGTGCTCGTTCTCGTCGGGGTTTCCCCGTCCAACGTTTTGTGGATAGTTCGGTCGTGGTGGCTGAGTCTCGCCTTGTTTCGTAATTTTCTGATCTTTTAAACTTTGTTTATTTTGTTTATCTCAAGGTTTGGAGATCCTGATGATGGGCCTTGCCCGAAAATTTGAGCTAATGTATATCAATTGCAGTGTAATTAATATTTAGTACAATGTTGTTTGAAACTCGGGTATTGAGCCAATAATAAAAGTAGAAAGGAAAAGGACATATGGAAACGAGTTAAGAGTCTCAGTACTCTGTCAGTTTTGTGCCTAGTTGTTGCACTTTCTGACTGTATATAGTATCTAGTTACAGTGGTGGAGAGTTACTCTTAACTCGTTTCCATATGTCCTTTTCCTTTCTACAATGTTGTTGTTTTTTGTTATTGTTTTTCCCCTTTTGAATAGAGTTTCTTGATTGAGTTTATTTTAATTATAAAACTTGACTGAACTGGACTTCCTTAAGTCCGTTTTTCTAAAGAACGGGTACCCTGACGATCTATTGAAGGAACTCATGAGCGAAAGGTTGGATAAAATGGAAAAACGTTTTGGCCCGGACAAATGTCCAACGTATCTTTCTCTCCCCTGGAAAGGTAACCTCTCATCATTCATGAGTCGCTTGGTACGGAAAATTGTACAGCAAACTTACTACGCGGTACATTTTGTACCCGTTTTCACAACTGTACGTGCGTTCACGGTGAGGAAGGATGTCCTACCAACCCAACTTGCATTTAATTGGTATACCAATTTGAGTGCCGACAATGCGGTAGTCGGTACGTTTGTAGGACTCTTCAACATCTGAACGCATGTATCAAGCAGCACGTCGCACTGCATATGCTGACTGGCTCGGCACGGGCACTGCGACCAAAACGCGGCAGGCCACTGAAGAACCCTCGGCCACAGCCATCGTTAGCACAATTTCCGTCATCGGCAATAGTGCCTCCATTACCCGTATCGAGAGCGTTTGAGTCGGGTAATGGGCATATTGTCACCACAACACAATGCACCATAATAACACAAGATAACAACACACCACAACAACATTCAGCTCAAGACCAAAGTGGACGCTGTGATGAGGTAATGCCCTCATCGCCGTCTTTGCCGTTCCCTCCCCCAGAACCGCCACCTACATCGGCGGTGCTAGGGCTGGGACTGTGGTGTCGGTGGCACGTGCATATATGGATGAGGCAAGCACTGATTGTGAACAACGAG